CAAAGCCTAGGGACATTAAGAATAATGGTGAGAGCCCATAAGAGCCCAGCTTGTGATCAATTGCCTGTTTCCAGGGGGAAGGGAAATTGTCAGTCAACACTAGTGGGGACAGTCCCTCTGGGAAGAAATGCATTTTAAGCCAATAAATGATCATCATCTTCTGACAAGCAAAATCAATGGGGAAGCTGGACTTAACCATGTTAGTAACGTAAGAACTGCAGTGATTCGCTTAATAAATGTGCCGAGAAATGTTGTAAAATGGGGCAAAACTCACTTAATAAACTTCTCACTTAGCAACATAAACTTTGAGCTCAATTATGGTCGTAAGTCAAGGACTACCTGTATTTGCATTGGGTTTCTAATTTCCAATTGACCTCACATGGGCTAAGACAGGGAGAGCCAAAGGACCAGATGTGGCCCAGGGCCCCCAAAAATGCCGTATAAGCTGATCATATGCGTCAAAGGAAAATGCTATTGATGACTTCAACAGGAAGAGTTGGCTTTGTATTGATTTAAACAGGAAAACGTGGTTATTTTCTGGAACCTGAAGAACCAGCATAAGATTACTGGAATCCTGCTTTGCCCAAATCAAAGAGGTTGCCAAAATAAACAACAGGTGAGTAAAGAATCCAGAAGAAAAATAGAAAAACAAGCTACGTAATCTTTATTTACTGAGTATCAATTTGCTTTAGGCTTGATAGGCATACGCTGTAATCAAAATGCACAACAGGAAGGCATTTGTAGGTTTGAAAATCCCAAGGTTTATATAAAACTTCCTCTAGGTTTTGAAAATGAAAGATGGATTGAGGAAACAATGAAAGTATTAGAGGAGGACTAAGCAGGCTCACAGGGACCCTCTGATTAAATGTTTTGTGGGAGGGACACAGAGAACTGGCAGGAAGGAACAGCAGAAATTGGAAGAAGATATGGCTGGCCGGCCTCATGTGTGGGACAATTCCATGCTGCAACATTTTACTGAATGGAACAACTCCCACCTGTATAATTTATAAGGCAATGGGTGGGACTTCATAAACACAGCAAGTATTCTAAGTGGAAATGTTTTGCTTCCATTCCAAAATGGCTAGCTGATGGTATTGATTTTAGCTCTCCCTTGCTTCCCCAGGTCAATTTCAGGTTCCTCCATCTGGAAAAATTTCGCTGGGCAAACGCCTACCCATAATAGCAACTTTCATTTCATATATAGATCAGGAAAGTGTCTCTCCGCAGTTAAGTTGGTACGTTTTTTTTGTATTTTTTCTGTTTTGGATTTCAGGGGCTTGTTTTGTGCAAGACTATTGTGCAATTTAGACCGGCTTTGAATAGAGCTTCTTAGCTCAGGCACAATTAGAATGTATGTTATATAACCATAACGCATATCATGGAATTCGTGGTTATTTTTGCTCCGGCAAATGGACAAATTTAGAGCAAACATTTGACTGGTAATACTGCTTGAGTATAAGACTATTTAATTCTTTTTTCTCATTCATCGGTTTATGATTGATTGGTTGGTTTGCTTTATTTACACCAGTTTATTCTGCATTTTTTCTACATATTTCTATGTTTTTAACTTTAAGTTCATGTTTTCATATTTTTTGCCCTTTTCCCTTCATTTTTATGTTCTCCTCTTTCTAAAAGCTAATTAGTGTTGCTTGATTCTCATATTTCTTTGTACAGAACTAACTGTCTACAAAGGATTTATAATCCATAGATCCTATGTAGAAAATAGAACTTACTCTTTTCTATTCAGTGTATTCCCATTTATGATGATCATTTTTGTTTTACTATGTTTTTCTTTATATAGCCCGAATGGCTCTGTGTTGAACAAGAGGAATTAGTTGGTCTGTAGAAACCTCAAGGCTTGTCAGAGTAGGAAAAGAGTACTTCAACCAAAGAAATCGAAAAGGTAGAGTGCTAAAGCAAATTAATAAGAACAGGATGCTGAATTGCTAACACAATATAGAACAAAAATCAAAATAACCTCTAATTCCATGAGGATTTACTGATGAGTTTGTGCATAATTTAATACTGTATTTTGCAGAAAGTGGTTTATTTACTGGCTCATTCACCAACTACATTTATTAGTCAGTTTTTCACAAATGATTGAAGCATTGTACAACCACTGTAAGGTAACAAATTACAAACCAAAGCCGAGCAATATCATAATCAAACCATCTCAATTAAAGAATATATTTAATACCCCTACCTCCACCCTCCCCAGCAATGTTGATGCCTAAAATCTTGTCAAAGTCTGCCAACTTTCTAAATCCAAAAAGAAGACTTAAGAAAGAGCTTTCCAAAGTGATGGTCCAACATTGCATATTGATTGCCTCCCCCCTCCCGATTTTATAGATAAATCTGTGATGAAGTAACACGTTTGACCATATTAACTGCTAAGTTGATATTTATACAAACACACATCACACATCACACCTACATACAAGTATTTATGCATCTCGCAGCCTCTTCTGCTCTCTGTAGCTAGCCTGCGGTCCTGAAGCATCATATTAGATTTCAATTTCTAGTCTGATTAAACCAGAGGGTAACTTCTTGTCCTTCACTTCAGTCAATAATGTATCCTTGGCCTTTCCTGATGTACAAGCTGCATGCTCAGAATGAAGAGCTGGAACTTTGGGGAGTGGAAAAACAAGAAACCCACTTTATCCAATGAGAAATATCATTAATGGTATCCACTGAAGACTTTTTAAGCAGAAATACATGGAAAGGAGACATATGCACATTGACCAAACCTTACCATTTTGAAACTTATTTAATAAAATCATGTGTCACTCTAGTTCAATCTTCTGTGTGAAAAAAATAAATCTTAACATGTCAATTAGGCTAACAATATCTTAAGTACATCCTTCTCATCACATAGTAAGATTTTTGTTTTCTAACTCTCTTTTTTTCTTTAGATGCATGAACAGATAGATGCACAAGTCCACAGAATAACGCTGAAGCAAAAAAAAATGGTGTCCAAGACTCAAGAAGCAATGGAAAATTGGGCTGTGGTAAGATCTCCTTTGAAGTAGAGTACAGTTCGTTTCTGAGCCTTACAATTCAGACAGGATCCTGATCAATGGAAAAGTTTCAGAGAAGAGTCGCACGGAGGATAAATGTCTAGAAGACAAATCGCACAAGGAAAACTTGGAGGAAACTGGCTGTTTTGCCCAGTAGAAAGGTTAGAGGGGGGGTTGGTCGAAAGTTTTGAGGGTATAGAAGAACATCACGCAGAAGAGAAAAGCTGTTCTCACAGGATCCACTAAGGACAGGATAGGACACAAAGCAACAGCTTAAGTGTGTCCCAACGGATGCTGACTCTTGTGAGCCCGACTGCTATGGCCTTTATTGAATGGCCTTGGGTAAGTCACTCTCTGCCAGCCTCAGTTCCCCATCTGTAAAATGAGAACAGCAATGATCTTGTTGTGAGGGTAAATCCAAAGAAGGTCAAGTGTTCTGCAAATTATATTGTTCTAAGCTGTGTACATAATTATTACTTCCTAATATTCTTCCCCTTTTTTCCCATTGTGATCTATTGTGCATTAACCAAAGGGACCCAGGATAGAGGTAGAATTAAGGGGAGAGGAAAATTTGATGAAATGGAGGCGTGACCCATCAAAACCGCGCTCGACTAAACCGCGCCCGATTAAACCGCGTCGCTGACGTCATCAACAACAGCCAGCGCAGAGAAAGAAGGGCGCTTTAAATAGCGCTTTGAAAGCAAGCCGATTCAACTTAAGATAAGGGTTAGGTTTAGGGTTAGGGTTAGGGTTAGGTTAAGGGTTAGGGTTAGGTTAAGGGTTAGGATTAGGTTTAGGGTTAGGTTAAGGGTTAGGTTTAGGTTTAGGGTTAGGTTAAGGGTTAGGTTTAGGTTTAGGGTTAGGTTAAGGGTTAGGTTTAGGATTAG